TCTAAGCCTATGCCATAAATAGCTAAGCCTATGCCACAAAAAGCTAAGCCCATGCCACAAATAGCTAAGCCTATGCCACAAATAGCTAAGCCTATGCCACAAATAGCTAAGCCTATGCCACAAATAGTTATGCCAAAAAAAGCTAAGCCTATGCCATAAATAGCTAAGCGTATGCCACAAAAAGCTAAGCCCATGCCACAAATAGCTAAGCCTATGCCACAAATAGCTAAGCCTATGCCACAAATAGCTAAGCCTATGCCACAAATAGTTATGCCAAAAAAAGCTAAGCCTATGCCATAAATAGCTAAGCGTATGCCACAAATAGCTAAGCCTATGCCACAAAAAGCTAAGCCTATGCCACAAAAAGCTAAGCCTATGCCACAATTAGCTAAGCCTATGCCACAAATAGCTAAGCCTATGCCACAAATAGCTAAGCCCATGCCACAAATAGCTAAGCCTATGCCACAAAAAGCTAAGCCTATGCCATAAATAGCTAAGCCTATGCCACAAAAAGCTAAGCCTATGCCATAAATAGCTAAGCCTATGCCACAAAAAGCTAAGCCTATGCCACAAAAAGCTAAGCCCATGCCACAAATAGCTAAGCCTATGCCACAAAAAGCTAAGCCTATGCCACAAATAGCTATGCCACAAAAAGCTAAGCCTATGCCATAAATAGCTAAGCCTATGCCACAAAAAGCTAAGCCTATGCCACAATTAGCTAAGCCTATGCCATAAATAGCTAAGCGTATGCCACAAAAAGCTAAGCCCATGCCACAAATAGCTAAGCCTATGCCACAAATAGCTAAGCCTATGCCACAAATAGCTAAGCCTATGCCACAAATAGCTATGCCAAAAAAAGCTAAGCCTATGCCATAAATAGCTAAGCCTATGCCAAAAAAAGCTAAGCCTATGCCATAAATAGCTAAGCCTATGCCACAAAAAGCTAAGCCTATGCCACAAAAAGCTAAGCCTATGCCACAATTAGCTAAGCCTATGCCACAAATAGCTAAGCCTATGCCACAAATAGCTAAGCCCATGCCACAAATAGCTAAGCCTATGCCACAAAAAGCTAAGCCTATGCCATAAATAGCTAAGCCTATGCCACAAAAAGCTAAGCCTATGCCATAAATAGCTAAGCCTATGCCACAAAAAGCTAAGCCTATGCCACAAAAAGCTAAGCCCATGCCACAAATAGCTAAGCCTATGCCACAAAAAGCTAAGCCTATGCCACAAATAGCTAAGCCTATGCCACAAAAAGCTAAGCCTATGCCATAAATAGCTAAGCCTATGCCACAAAAAGCTAAGCCTATGCCATAAATAGCTAAGCCTATGCCACAAAAAGCTAAGCCTATGCCACAAAAAGCTAAGCCCATGCCACAAAAAGCTAAGCCTATGCCACAAAAAGCTAAGCCTATGCCATAAATAGCTAAGCCTATGCCACAAAAAGCTAAGCCTATGCCACAAAAAGCTAAGCCTATGCCACAAATAGCTAAGCCTATGCCACAAATAGCTAAGCCTATGCCACAAATACCTATGCCAAAAATAGCTAAGCCTATGCCACAAAAAGCTAAGCCTATGCCACAAATAGCTATGCCATAAATAGCTAAGCCTATGCCACAAATAGCTAAGCCTATGCCACAAATAGCTAAGCCTATGCCACAAAAAGCTAAGCCTATGCCATAAATAGCTAAGCGTATGCCACAAATAGCTAAGCCTATGCCACAAAAAGCTAAGCCTATGCCATAAAAAGCTAAGCCTATGCCACAAATAGCTAAGCCTATGCCACAAATAGCTAAGCCTATGCCACAAATAGCTAAGCCTATGCCACAAAAAGCTAACCCTATGCCATAAATAGCTAAGCCTATGCCACAAAAAGCTAAGCCTATGCCACAAATAGCTAAGCCTATGCCACAAAAAGCTAAGCCTATGCCACAAATAGCTAAGCCCATGCCACAAATAGCTAAGCCTATGCCACAAAAAGCTAACCCTATGCCATAAATAGCTAAGCCTATGCCACAAAAAGCTAAGCCTATGCCATAAATAGCTAAGCCTATGCCACAAAAAGCTAAGCCTATGCCACAAAAAGCTAAGCCCATGCCACAAATATCTAAGCCTATGCCACAAAAAGCTAAGCCTATGCCACAATATAGCTAAGCCTATGCCACAAAAAGCTAAGCCTATGCCACAAATAGCTAAGCCTATGCCACAAAAAGCTAAGCCTATGCCACAAAAAGCTAAGCCTATGCCATAAATAGCTAAGCCTATGCCACAAATAGCTAAGCCCATGCCAAAAAAAGCTAAGCCTATGCCACAAATAGCTAAGCCTATGCCACAAATAGCTATGCCACAAAAAGCTAAGCCTATGCCACAAAAAGCTAAGCCTATGCCATAAATAGCTAAGCCTATGCCACAAATAGCTAAGCCTATGCCACAAAAAGCTAAGCCTATGCCACAAATAGCTAAGCCTATGCCACAAATAGCTAAGCCTATGCCACAAATAGCTATGCCACAAAAAGCTAAGCCTATGCCATAAATAGCTAAGCTTATGCCATAAATAGCTAAGCCTATGCCATAAATAGCTAAGCCTATGCCACAAAAAGCTAAGCCTATGCCACAAATAGCTAAGCCCATGCCACAAAAAGCTAAGCCTATGCCATAAATAGCTAAGCCTATGCCACAAAAAGCTAAGCCTATGCCACAAAAAGTCTAAGCTTATGCCACAAATAGCCTAAGCTTATGCCACAAATAGCTATGCCACAAAAAGATAAGCTTATGCCATAAATAGCTAAGCGTATGCCACAAATAGCTAAGCTTATGCCACAAAAAGCTAAGCTTATGCCACAAATAGCTAAGCTTATGCCACAAATAGCTAAGCTTATGCCACAAAAAGCTAAGCTTATGCCATAAATAGCTAAGCGTATGCCACAAATAGCTAAGCCTATGCCACAAAAAGCTAAGCCTATGCCACAAATAGCTAAGCCTATGCCACAAAAAGCTAAGCCTATGCCATAACTAGCTAAGCCTATGCCATAAATAGCTAAGCCTATGCCACAAAAAGCTAAGCCTATGCCACAAATAGCTAAGCCTATGCCACAAATAGCTAAGCCTATGCCACAAATAGCTATGCCACAAAAAGCTAAGCCTATGCCATAAATAGCTAAGCGTATGCCACAAAAAGCTAAGCCTATGCCACAAAAAGCTAAGCCTATGCCACAAATAGCTAAGCCTATGCCACAAAAAGCTATGCCACAAAAAGCTAAGCCTATGCCACAAAAAGCTAAGCCTATGCCATAAATAGCTAAGCCTATGCCACAAAAAGCTAAGCCTATGCCATAAATAGCTAAGCCTATGCCACAAAAAGCTAAGCCTATGCCACAAAAAGCTAAGCCTATGCCACAATTAGCTAAGCCTATGCCACAAATAGCTAAGCCTATGCCACAAATAGCTAAGCCCATGCCACAAAAAGCTAAGCCTATGCCACAAATAGCTAAGCCTATGCCACAAATAGCTAAGCCTATGCCACAAATAGCTAAGCCTATGCCACAAATAGCTAAGCCCATGCCACAAATAGCTAAGCCTATGCCACAAAAAGCTAAGCCTATGCCATGAATAGCTAAGCCTATGCCACAAAAAGCTAAGCCTATGCCACAAAAAGCTAAGCCTATGCCATGAATAGCTAAGCCTATGCCATAAATAGCTAAGCGTATGCCATAAAAAGCTAAGCCTATGCCACAAATAGCTAAGCCTATGCCATAAATAGCTAAGCCTATGCCACAAAAAGCTAAGCCTATGCCACAAATAGCTAAGCCTATGCCATAAATAGCTAAGCCTATGCCACAAAAAGCTAAGCCTATGCCATAAATAGCTAAGCCTATGCCACAAAAAGCTAAGCCTATGCCATAAATAGCTAAGCCTATGCCATAAATAGCTAAGCCTATGCCACAAAAAGCTAAGCCTATGCCACAAAAAGCTAAGCCCATGCCACAAATAGCTAAGCCTATGCCATAAATAGCTAAGCCTATGCCACAAATAGCTATGCCACAAAAAGCTAAGCCTATGCCACAAATAGCTAAGCCTATGCCACAAATAGCTATGCCACAAAAAGCTAAGCCTATGCCATAAATAGCTAAGCGTATGCCACAAATAGCTAAGCCTATGCCACAAATAGCTAAGCGTATGCCACAAATAGCTAAGCCTATGCCACAAATAGCTATGCCACAAAAAGCTAAGCCTATGCCACAAATAGCTAAGCCTATGCCACAAATAGCTATGCCACAAAAAGCTAAGCCTATGCCATAAATAGCTAAGCGTATGCCACAAACAGCTAAGCCTATGCCACAAATAGCTAAGCCTATGCCACAAATAGCTATGCCTCAAAAAGCTAAGCCTATGCCATAAATAGCTAAGCGTATGCCACAAATAGCTAAGCCTATGCCACAAAAAGCTAAGCCTATGCCACAAAAAGCTAAGCCTATGCCACAAATAGCTAAGCCTATGCCAC